CCCCGCTCTGGCCTGCGAGGGCGTGATGCCAGTCCTGGCCCTGCCCGTGGGCCTTTCCTCCCCCCAGAGCTGCCCCCACCCCTGCGAGAACCCCCCGGCGATGTCCCCTCGCCCGCGGCCAGCCATGGGGCCATGCAGGTGCATCACCGCGGGTGCAGCCAAAACCCCAATCCCTGCCATGCAGAGCCCTCCCTTCCCTGCAGGGAGGTGAAAGGGGAAGAGGAGTCGTTTGCGGCCGGGCTGGCCGGGGAGCAGGCGGTTCCTGCTCGCTGCGCGGCTGCCCGCAGCGCAGGCAGAGGGGTCAGGCAGCGCTGAGGGTCTGACACATCCCGCGGGTGCCGGGTGCTGGTGAGAGAGACCCTATGCAGCAGATTGCAAAGGGAAAATTAAATTCCAATCAGGCAGCGCTGAGGGTCTGACACATCCCGCGGGTGCCGGGTGCTGGTGAGAGAGACCCTATGCAGCAGATTGCAAAGGGAAAATTAAATTCCAACTCAAGGCACGTATTAGATCCCGGGGAGAGAAGCAGAGCGGGCTGTTACATGACAGCAAACACAACATTTTTTCAGGGCAATTTTTTTTTTTTTTCCCCCCCCACAAATTGCTCATTTTAGCAGCATTTTCTGCTGTGTTTTTGCAGAGGAAGAAAGCAGCACGCACAGTCCACACCTCGCCTCACCCTCCAGCCATGCTGGCCACAACCCAGAGGAGCTTCAGCTGCCAAAAAAATTGTGTGTCCATTTTTGATGGAAACTTTTGAGGAAAGATTTTTAAAGGGAAGTAGCACGTTGGTGGGTTTATCCAATATTTTTTCTTAATTCAAGCAGCAAACACACCCTGAATAACTCCAGTTCCACCTCTCTGGCCATAAGGAAAAATACACTCGCTACCAAAAGCCCTGTTTTGCCTGCACCCCCGTATTTCCTTCCCAAGCAGGGAGTCACGCACAGTCCTGCTGGCAGGCACTGGGTGCCTTTGTGGGCATCAGCACCCGTTTGCACTCGGGGAAACAGAGTCAGGGGCAGCTCCAGCACCCCCTCCTCCTGCTCCCCGGTGTAATGGAGATGTCCAGAGTGTGCCAGCAGGGAGCGAGCGCCTGCGTGCTCTTGACAAAGCCGTGGCTGGGAGGCAAAGTTCAAAGTTCCCCTTCAGATTGTCCCGCCTCTCTCCGGGAAAGGCCGGGGAAAAAAATACCTTCCGTATTTTGCAGCTGCAGGGCAGCTGGGGTTGCAAACACTCGGTGACACCCCGCACTCCCGCTGCCGTGGGGAAAACCAGCAGAAACACTCGTGAACGCTTCGAGGGCCCTTGTGCCAGTGATGGGAGCATGAACTGGCGGCAGTGAGTTAGGGATGGAGCGAGGAGCGAAGGGAAAGTGAAGCCCCGGGGGGAATCAGGCCCCCTCTTTCCCCAGGGATGCTGAGGCCCC